TCCACGCCAAGTGAGTCCTCATCCTCCAGCAACACGCAGACACTTGTCATTTCTACTCTCGGTGAGCACAGAAGTATCCAAAGGGAGAGTGTGGCAAGACAGCACTGGCTGCCATCATGTAACCTGGAGACAGATGGTGAGCGGTCAGAGGGCAGGAGGAATCCACAGTTCCCACATGAGCCCCCTCTCAGATATCCAGAGACAGCGGTGGCTGTACCTGTTTTAGGATGTGCACAATGAACCAAGTGGCACTCATGTACAGAGACCCTCCAGCACAGATGCCATCTCCTCCTGGAGGTGAGCACTCTGCCCTGTGAAGCTGAATACAACCTCAGAATTCTCTGCAACACAGCTCCTGGACTCAAAGACTTGGCACTTGCACTTGTGTCTACTAGCTGTCCTTACCTTCTTACGGGGCATGGGGGTGGATGGAGGGACGGTCCACCCTGACACAGAAATTTCTGGGTGTCCTATTTTATAAGAATACATTTCTGTGACTATGATGTTAGATGATTTCCTAGGTATTTGTAGGTAATAGGCCTGGCATTCTTCAGCTGTTTCCTCTAAGTGGCTGCTGCCACCATCGTCACACCCAAGTGTGTTCTAGGCTGGTCCTTGAGACTGTTGACCTCCCTGGACTGTGAATTTCTCAAGGGCAGGGTCTATATCTTATCCAGGCCTGTGTCCCTGGAGCGCTTGACTCTGGTTGTATCAATAAGTGAGTCACCTGCCCAGGGTCAAGGAGCTGTCAAAGTGAATACTTCCTGTGTAGCTGGCAGCCCTGTGGGCTGCTCACGGTCACGTACTGAAGGCGGCTCTCGTGGGGAGGGGAGAGGTGACTGCTGGAGAAAAGGAGGGTGGCAGGAAAAGCATCAGTGGTCTTGGTTCTCACATTGCTGTCATAGACATGTTCAATAACTGGCCCAGAAAACTGGACATCAGGTGGTGAGAGAGCAGGTGTATGGGAGGAGGTTTTCATCACGAGACTCGATATATTTTCCCTCTAAGCCAAAGTTTCCTGGTCTGGAGCTAAGCTGGGTCTGTGTTTGCTGTGTTTCTGAAGGTGACTCCTGGAAGCTGTGCAGAGCGTTTGATTTCTATTACACGGACAAGCGTGTGGCTCACGAAGACTGCAGCTACGTCCCAGGAGATTCCTGCTTGTTTGCTTTTTACTAAGTACACTTTACAATGAATAGAACAGTAATAAGAAGGTCCTGGAAAACTCATCCATAGACTTCAAGATGTGTTTGCACCAACGTGAAGACACCTTTGAATTCAATTTTCACCCAAACTCCAGGAGGTAAACCCCTCACACCGTCCACGCTTCAAACTGTGAAATTCTGTGGCAAACAGGACCTCTGCAACATCAGCCACGTGCTCCATGCGGGAGCGTGAGAGGAGAGACAGAGGCAGCCGATCTCCCAGAGTTCTCTCGGGCTCAGAGAGTTGGTGTGTGCATGTGCAGATCCAGGCTGGACTGAGGCGTTGTGCGAAGGCTGACGGTGTTGAGGACAGGGCCTTAGGGCAGCACTGCCATCTCCCTTCCTCTTGCCCGCTCTATCCCGGCCATGTGGTCTCCGAGTCGGTTCCCCTAATGCAGCCGAGAGCCAGTGATGGTCACTCCCTCCAGCTGGACTGTCCACCTGTGCCAGTCCGCGGCGCTGAGGCCCACAGCACTACCACAGCTTACTGTTCCCTGTCTCTTTTTTCAAGGCCAATGCTAGTGTTAAGTGGGCAGAAGGAAAACAGAAAAGAGAAGTGAAGGGGCGAGGCCGCTCAAGTCTTCTTCACTGAGGACTGTTGCTGATTTTCAGATTAGCTTACTGCTTCCTTCCTGTGCGGTGGAACGCAGGTCAGGGCAGCAGGTCAGAGCAGACGCAGCTCAGAATCCACCTCGGAGACTTGGGAATCAGCATCAGATTCCTTCCCCAGGGAGGCCGTTATTCAGCGTCTTGATCTCCAGCCAGTTTACTACTGATCAGAATCAAAATGCCTTAATTTATAAAGTGGGGGATGGCAAGTTATGCCCAGACGTAAAACAAAACAAAAAACAAACAAAATGCTTAGTACAGTGTAAGGCACCTAGCAGATGTTCAGGAAACAGTCTCTCTCATGATAATGGCTTTGGCTGTGTTTGGGGCTGGTTAGAGCTGCGTGTCCCCCCAGAGCGGGCCAGGGGCATCTGTGCCTGGAGGAGATTGCCATGTGTGGGGTGGTGGGCTGGGATGGTTGGCACCACGTGAATTGCCACCAGCGAGGCCTCTGCCTATCCTGAAGATGTCCACACAGATACATCTAAGTGGATCAACAGTGGGATTGTTGGGCAGGGGGTGGGGACGGTGGAGCAGACGGAAACATCCCTGCATCACCCTTTGCTAAGGGCTTGTGACTGCCCTGAGCCCACCGCTGCAGGCTTTCAGGTTTCAGGTGTGAATCTTGCGATTAAATACTAGTGGTTCAACGTGCCCAGGATGAGCATCCACAGGTGGTTTTGGGTTGGATGCACACTTTCAGATGGTGCCCCCTAACTACAGCAGAGTGGCCAAAGCACCTCCCCCACTTTCAGCCACCTGGCCCTGATGCGTGGCTCCTAGAGAGCCAAGCACCCATGTCCTCTTCTCGGGAGCACGGCCAGGACCACATGAGGCAGAAGCACGAGTTCATCTTGGTGCTCCCCATCCACCACCTTCTTCAGGGCCGTGATTTTTCTTTTGCTTGGTCAGCATCATTCACTTTGGCAGCTGTTTATTTTCCAAGGAATCAGAATAGTTCAGAGTTCAAAGTACAGACCCTTCACTGTATAGTCAGCCCTGTACGTGGAGGTATGGTATAGCTTAAAACAAGATCAGGGCTGGGCACTTGCCCAAGTGGCTGCCTGGTGTGCCCATCTCCTGCTATCAGAGTGCCTGGTTTGAGTCCTGACTCCTCTGCTTCTCGTTCCAGATTCCTGCTCACAGGCGCCCTGGGAGGCAGCAGGCGATGACGGTTCAAGGACTTGGGTCCCTGCCACCCACATGGGAGACGCAGAGGTGAGAGTTTCTGATTCCTGCTTTTACGTTGTTGCCAGCATTTTTTTTTTTAAAGCTGGTACTCATTTTAATGAACTACTTATAATCTGCCAGCAAGCAGCCTACCACAACAAGGGAATAACAGACACCGCCATCCACAGATGCCCCGCCCATAGCTCCAGTCAGCTGCCTCCAAGCCCAGTGTCAAAGGACATCATGGAAAATTCCAGAAACAGCTCCCGAGATCTCATTCTGAGCAGTGAGATGGAATTGCACACCCGTCTCACACCATCCGCCCGGCATCAGACCAGCCCTGCTTAGGCTGCCCCTGTCGGTCATGGGGGAGCCTTCACAGTGACACGTCTCCTTGCCCAAGTGCAGGCAACCCTGACTGCGTTAATGAATACAAACCAAAGTTCTTTCGTCCTTGTCAGAGCAGACAGCAGACAGGCAGCAGTGCTGGGGCCTGAGTCTGTTCATGGGAAGCCACACAGTGTCATATGGCAGCAAGGGCAGCCCGTTCACACAGTTGGTTAAGCTGCCACTTGTAACACTAGCCACTGCATCAGTGCACCAGTTCAAGTCCCGGCTGCTCCACTTCCCATGCAGCTCCCTGCTAATTCGCCTGGGAAAGCAGCGGAGGATGGCCCAAAGCCTGGGGACCCTGCTACCCATGCGGGAGGCCCAGATGGTGTTGCCAGCATTTGAACAGTAAAGCAGAGGATGGAAGCTCTCCCTGCATTACAAATGAAACACAAAAATCAATTACACTCCCTCTCACCCCTACCCAGACTATGCTTAGAGAATCACATGTTTACAAAACCTTCATGAGCGAGATGTCCACATTTTTCCTCTTGGAACCTGTAGCTGTCACTAACAAGACTTGGGGCATATCAGGTGACTCTGGATCTTCATTTCCGTCATGCACAACATTAAGAGGATTCTACAAGTCTGCCATTCAAAAAAACACACCCCCATCCCCAGACCCACCTCAAGACTACTGGGTATTCTTGCCCTCCATCCTTCAAGGCCACCCCACTCCTCTGCCTGTGAGTCAGGGCGCTGGGGGGCACAAAACCAAACAGTGCAAGTAAGCTGTTCACCCGGTTCACACAGGTGTCCACACCTCCCAGTGACACCCCCCCAGGGATGGCAAAACGGGTGGTTTTCCTTTATGAAAATAGTCCCAACCCAAGTTCGAAAACTGCCCAGCTGGTTTCTCTCATCAACTGGGTCACTCCTTGCATACTCCCATCAGCCTGAATGGGTTAGGGGTCGCCCCCGTGGGCCATCACCTGCTAGCCTGCCAGGGCGCGCAATGCCTGGCAGCTGGATCACAGCGCAGGGTGAGGGTGTTCGGGGCTGGAACCGAAGCTCTACGAAACGAGAGAGCACAGAAGTCCGCACCCGCTCCTCTACCTGCCCCCCACACAAGGACGCCCCGCTCCGGCCTCCCCTCGGCTCGGGAGGGACTGGGGGCTGCCAGGCTTCCTTGACGCGCGAGGCCGCGCCGCCGGGACCGCCCCCTTCGCCCGGATCTGCTTCCAGGGCACAGGGAAGGGGCGGTGCCGGGGCGGGCCGGGGCGGGGAGGACGCGAGCATCCTCGCCGCTGAGCCGAGCTGAGCCGAGCCGTTGCGCGCTCCGCACCTCCTGCGCCCACGCCGCCCGCGCCGCCCGGCCTGGCGCGCGGGTCCCCAGCGTGAACCGGAACCTCTTGCCGCAGCCGCAGCCGCCGCCGGGAGCCGGGCGCCGGGCGCCGAGCGGGGAGCGCGGGGGGACGCGGCCTGCCCGGCGCCGCCCGCCATGGCTGCGGCGGGCTGAGCTGGGCGCGGCGGCCGCACAGTCGCGCCGACCCGGGCCATCTCCCGCCGCCGCCGCCGGCCGGGCGCGCGCGGAGGCCGAGGGGGAGCCGGGGCCGCCCTGGTCGCTGCCGCCCATGGCGAGGCCGCGCCGTCGCCGCCGCTGCTACCGCTGCTGCTGCCGCTACTGCCGCTGCTGCCGCTGCTGCTGCTGAGCGGGCGGCCGCGGCTTGCGCCCCTCCGCTCGCCCGCGCCCGCCGGGCCCCGGCGAGGAAGCGCGAGGCGCGCGGCTGGTGGTCGGGGGCCGCCCAAGATGGGGAACACTACCTCGTGCTGCGTGTCGTCCAGCCCCAAGCTCCGCAGGAACGCGCACTCGCGCCTCGAGTCGTACCGGCCCGACGCCGAGCTCAGCCGCGAAGACACTGGCTGCAACCTGCAGCACATCAGCGACCGCGAGAACATCGATGGTGAGCGCCCCTGGGCGGCCGCCGCGGGCACCCTTGGGCCCACGTCGGAGCGGGAGGCTCCGGAGCGGGTCTGGGGGCCTGGGGGTGATGTTGGGGGGAAGGTGCGGTGGTGGGGTGCCTCGGGTGCCGCCACAGAGAGGAAGGAGCCGGGGAGGACGGTGGCAGCGAGCCTGGAGACCTAGGTTGCAGGGCACGGTTGAGAAGGAGTGCTTAAACACACACACACACACACACACACACACACACACACGGAGGGGGAGGGAGGACGCTCTCGGAGTGGGGGTGGGTGGGTGGAGGGGCGTTTGGTTGTGTGCGGGTGGTCCCGGAGTGTGTTGGAGCCCCGCGTCTGAAAGACTGGGAGTGGGAAGTGCGTGTTTCTGACCGCTCTCTGGTCTTGGTTTGTATTTTCAACCGAAAAACCCTTCCCGCAGCAGCCAGGGATGTGCGACTGTTGAGAGAATACCCCCACCCCCCTGCTCCCGGCCGAGGCTGCCTTTTCTGGTCAGCTCCGCGGAACGGGGCATCCCGGACTGCCCCTTCCTTCACCTTTCTTCGGACTGCTTGCTGTGTGAGGGGCCGGCAGTCTGTCTGGCGGAGGGCTGCATGTGAAGAGGTGATGGAAGGAGCCCTTGGTGGGTCAGGATCGCTTGAGTTTTTGGGGTGCTACCGCCTTTTGTATCCTCTCGTCTGCCCCCTAGGTGTCTTCGGACTTTAGAGCCGTACTTGGCTTTGGCGTAGACGGGTCTGGAAGGACATTCAGGCCGTCTCTGGATTCTTGCCTAAGAGAAATGTTGAAAGGTTCAGGAAGTGTTTTTCTTGCTCAGGAATGACTCAGTGAGCTCCTGTGGATAGGGAGTAACGTTGGGGAATAGTGTGTCCTGTGCACTCCTGCCTGGTGCAGGCTTTGTTGGAAATGATGGATCTGGCGGCAGCAGCAACCGTGGTCTCCAAAGCTAAAAACAGAGTCTTATTTATTGATTTGGAAGAGGCAGCTGGTCCATCTGCTGGTTCACTCCCGCAGTGCTTGCCATAGCCAGACCAAAGCCAGGTGCCTAGGACCTCCATCCTGCATTCCCACTTGGGTTGTAGGGGACCCCAACACTTGGGCTGTCGTCCGCTGCTTTCCCTGGCTCATTAGTACGGGGCAAGATTGGAAGCAGAGCAGCTGGCACATGAATTGGAACCTGTATGGCATGCCGCCTTTGGCAGACAGCGACTTCACTCGCTTTGCCACCTTGCCAGCCTCAGTGTGTGTTCTTTGGAGCTGAGGCTACATATGGGTGCCACAGACTGCAGTGAGGAGAGCCGGGACTAGTTGCTGGCGCTGAGGTTTGAAAAGATTTTGCCAGATAACACCAGAATACCACAGTATTGTATTTTTCATTGGCCTACTGGGATTCATCCATCCAACATTTTTTTTTTTTAGATTCTTGGGTATCTAAAAGGTCAGAGACAGATATTCCACCTGCTGGTTTGCTACCCAAATGCATCCAGCAACCAGGAGCTCCATCCAGGTCTCCCACGTGGGTGGCGGAGACCCACGCAATGTGCACCATCACCTGCTGCCTTCCACAGTATGCATTAGCAGGGAGCTGGATGGGAAGTGGAGGTGCGACTTGACAGGGGGTGCGGGTACCACCCGCCAGCCTCGCTTGCTGCACCTCAGTACTTGCCCTTGGCCGAGGATGGTTGGAAAACCGGCAGCTCCAGTTTTGCAGATACGTGATAGAGGATAACGCAGATTCTTATCTCGGCTGGGGTGCTTGACTCAAATAATGGTGTCAGTTTGAATGCAGAAACACAAATTCAGCACACACGTCTGCTGTCACCCACGGTCAGTAAGTAATACTTCCAGACCTAACCTAACCTCTGCGTCTCGGTGACTGGCACTGTGGGCTGCATGTTGGCATAACAGTGGATGTGAAGCAGTGCTTTGAGTTCTGAGTTGTAACTAGGCTTGGTCCTTGCTGTCAGGGTGAGTCTGGGGAAGTGTTACCACCTGCTGCTTGCAGACATTTCCGGGGAAAGTTAATATTAGAGGCTGGGAGAACAGAACAGATTTATAGAAACGGCATATATATACTCACAGGCACATTGTGTTTCTGTGTCTAACTGTATTTGTATGTATTTGAGCTTCTGAGTTGTATTAGATGATTAGATTCTGAAAATTACAACTCAGGAAGTCTTGATTATAGTATGATGTAAAAGCTGAGGCATCTAGCACAATCTTACAGAAGTCCTGAAAAACAGCCCAGGTAAGTGCTACTGAGAGGGTTAGAGACACTGATGCTTTCCTGTGATAAGAGGGTGCCTTTGAGTCTCGGAGATCAAACCCATCTCTGTGGTTTCCCCACAAGAGGGCCTTGACCTTGTGCCTTGGACTTAGAGCAGTGGCTGACTTAGGGTATTCAGGCTTCCCTGACACCTGCTCTGTCTTCTTGTTAGGTGACTGTGGTCTTTAAACTTCTGTATCATCTGCTTCTACTCTTACCGGAATTATGTCTGCTACAGTGTCTAAGGAGCTGAGAAGGAGGGGGAGTGGTCCATGGTTGTGATGTTGCTGCCAGTGTTGTGTGGCGCCGGTTGGGGTTGGCAGTGCTGCCTTCACCTTAAGACAAAGGGGGGAGCCGTGGAGAGAAATGGCTTGCCTGGATTCGCCAGGCAGTGAGTGGCTGGTGGAAATGTTGTACAGTTGCTTGGTAGTTGGGGGTTGCCTCCTGGATGAGGTGTCTGTCCATTGTGATTGTAGCCTTGTCCATCATTGCTCACATTCAGTTTAGACTTGTTGTGATTAGAGTATCCTTGTAGCTGGAGCGGGGGGAGTGCCCTACAGTGAATTAGAAATGTGTCTAGGCCCAATCATTCCGGACACACGTAGCATCTGAACCGTCACTTCAGAGTTTTCCCTCAAGACAGCTGGTACCAACCTCCTCCCTGATAGCTCCCGCCATCCCAGCAGCTGCTTTGCCCTCAGTTGGCCAGGACCCCTTGACTCTGCCTCCATGATGTATCCAGAACCTGAACTAACCTCCCCTGTGGCCCTTCCACCTCCAGGCGTGGTGGCACTGTGCTCTCGGCACTTGCTTCTACGTCCTCGCCCACTCAGCCGACTGCACCAGGAGCACTCCTGCTCAGGACCTGCAACCAGCTCCTGATTTCACACCGAGTGAGAGCCGTCTCCTCACAGTGGACTCCACGGCCCTCTGCTTCTCTGCCTTGGCTTGCTCGCTCAGTCTGGCGGGACTGGCCTCCTGTGCTGCCCTTGGGTGCGGCACGTATGCCCCTGCCCCAGCACCAGGCTGTGTCCCTTTGCTTCAGGTGTTTCTGTGGATATTCCCATGGCCTTGGTCTTGGTTCAGGGAGGCCTGCCCAGTCCCCCGTCTCCCATCCCTCTGCCCCTGGCCAGCAGGCCTGGTGGGTGTTCTGCACCCTGTGTTTCTCCTGTGATTCCCTGCATACACCCAGACACACTCACACCCACGTCCACCTGGCTTGGAGATTTTCTGTTCTGTCCCTGATTTTGGTGCCTGACTCTGCCATGACGATGCTGTCTGCTGAGTGAGTGAGTGAGTGAAGAAAGGGCTATGAGAACATCCCCAGGGTGAGGGGAAGTTAAAGGCAAGGTCGGGACACTTAGGCTCAGGGGCTAGCATCAGGGAAGTGCGACACTGGCATTTTATACGGGTGCCAGCTCATGTCCTCTGACCCAGCTTGATAATGTGCCTGGGAAAGCAGCAGAAGGTGGCCCAAATGCTAGGGCCCCTGCCACCCACGTGGGAGACCTGGATGGAGCTCTGGGCTCCTGGCTTCGGCCTGGCCCGTGGCTGGCCATTGTGACCACCTGGGGAGTGAACCAGAGGATGCAAGATCTCTCTCTCTCTCTTATGTAACTCTGACCTTCACGTGAATAAATCCATCTTTTAAAAAAGAAAGAATGTTCAGGATCTGTAATAACGAAAGTCCGGCGGATGTGAAACTTTGTGGTTTCGTTTGCATTGTAACCCGTGGGGTAGCAGGTAGGCTGAAGTTCCGAAAATAAAAATTAAGAAAAAGGTTTCGAGCCTAACAGAAGTGGGGAAGAAACCCTAGCCAAAGGGAAATGAAGCTGTGGCTAAGGGAAATATGCTGTATGTTTAATCTCTCCTTATCCCTTCCAGTGAGTGACTTTAGCTGTGGCCTTTTGCATGTCCTTAATGGAGCAAAATGAGGCTCAAATGCTTGGTTAAAGCAGAAAGTCCGAGGTGAACGTATGCAATTATGAGATGCGTTACAGGATTGTGGCAGCTGGTCTTTGAAAGAAGCCTGAAGAGCTCATGCGAAATACTGGAAGGTGTCTACTCTTGCTAGGATGGGGAGTAAAGCAGCAGTTTAAGAAAATGTATATGTTTAAGATTTATTTATTTGAAAGAGTTAACAGAGAGAGGGAGAGAGGTCTTCTGTCTGCCGCTTGCTCCTTAAGTGACCAATGCAGGTCAAAGCCAGGAGCTGGGAATTTCTTACAGGTCTCCCACATGGGTACACAGGTTCAAGGCCTTGGGTCATCCTGCACTGCGTCCCCAGGCAGAACAGCAGGGAGCTGGATCAGAAGTGGAGCACTGCACCCATATAGCAGTGACTTGACTCGTCCTGCTACCCCTCGGTGCCAGTCCTGACCTTCAGCGTGATGAGTGCCCCCTCGGTGCCAGTCCTGACCTTCAGTGTGATGAGTGCCCCCTCGGTGCCAGTCCTGACCTTCAGTGTGATGAGTGCCTCCTCGGTGCCAGTCCTGACCTTCAGTGTGATGAGTGCCCCCTCGGTGCCAGTCCTGACCTTCAGTGTGATGAGCGCCTCCTCGGTGCCAGTCCTGACCTTCTCTCGGCAGCTTTAGCTTGACTGTCATTCTTGGTTTCGCCGCGTCTCCACCATCTATTTGACCTCTCCCCTTTGACAGTCTTTCTCTTGAGTCTCAGTCACACGTCCACAGCACCTGTTCTGCTGGGCCAGACCCTAGCTGTGACCTG